GGAAAGGGCAGGGGCCCAGACTAGCCCACACCACAGAGGGCCAGGCACAGCATTCAGGGCCTCTCTCCCATCCTCCACAGTAGACCCTCCCCAGCTTATCTTCTCCCCTCTCGAGACCAGCTTTCTCCCCAGCTCCACCTGTGGGCAATCTTACCCCAAGACACAAGGCCCAGTTCAAATGCCACCTCCTCCAGGAAGCCTCCCTGGACTTCCTCAATCAGTCCTCTGCCTCCCTGGCCCCTTCTACCACTGTTCTGGCCTTTCAGCCCTACCAGTTCCTGGCCTCTGTCTTCCTCACCAGACCAGACAAATCTCTGAGAGCAGGGACTGCATTCCTTACTCACCACTGCCTCCTCACAGGGTACCCAGCCCAGGGTCTGGCCCACAGCAGGCACTTACTTAATGTGTGTTAAATGAAATCGCCTCCTGGGAAAGGAAAGTTCTAACAATAGTAATAATAACAGCTACCCTTCATTGACCATCACCTACAGGACAGGTAGTGAATTTTATGGCTCATCACAAGGCCCAGGCGAGGAAGCGGCTCAACCAAGGTCACTCAGCTAGTGAGAGGCAAAGCCGGGATTTGAACTCGGGTTGGTCTGACCTGGAAATGCATGCTGGGTGATAGAAGTGAGAGCATGGGGTAGCCCCCTTCGCGCCACTGCTAGTCTCCCCAAGCTGGGGAACTAGCCTGCAGCACAAATCACTTGGAGAACCCAATGCTGCCCCCTTCCCTGCAATGCCCAGGTGTGTCTGAGCCCCTGCCGGGAGTCCAGCCCATGGAGAGTGTCCCTGGAGTGGTCCCAGAAGGAGGACACCTGCCCTCATGGTGGTTGCAGTCCAGTTGGGGTGAAAAGTACCCCCTTCCTATGCTGGCTGTTCCCCAAATGCGCCAGGAGCACAGACATCACTGTCTCATTGGAGAGCTAGCTCACAGAGTAACCGATGCCAATATGGAGGAGGGACCAGGAGCAGGGGAGAGGCTCACTCTGGAGGAGGGCCTCCAGGAGGAGGTGACATTGCAAAGCAGCCTTCAAAGATGTTTTGCCCAAGGGCAACCCACTGATGAACGTGAGTGAGGTGTGTGCCTGAGAAAGATGATGACATGGTCAGAAACTCATGTTGGTCAGCAAAGGCCAGGTATGAGTTGATGTAAGATCATGAACAGGGAATGAGTGGGTGGAGGGAGCCATGTAGGTACAGGCGGGCGGGTAGATGGCTGTGGGTGTGGGCAGTGGAACAAGGGATGCTGGATGGATAGAGTGGGGGGGGATATATGGGTGGGTAAATGGATAGGGGCGGAAGGAGGCATGGGTGGGGAGGTGGATGGATGGGTGGGGGATAGCTAGATAATGGATAGGGCTGTAGGCAGTGGGTCAACTGAGGTGTAGTCGGTAGTAGGATGGCGTAGTGGATGGGTAGTAGGTTAACAGATGGATGGGTAAATTGGTGGTTAAATGGATGTGTAGAAGGGTGGGTAGATGGATGGATAGGAGTGTGGGTGGTGGGTGGGTAGATGGGTAGTGGACACTCAAAAGACAGAGAACTGGGGGAATTTTCTGGCGGTCCAGTGGTAAGGACTCTGCACTTCCACTGCAGGGGGCATGTGTTCGATCCCTGGTCCAGGAAATAAGATCCCACATGTCTCGCGGCATCACCAAAAAAGAAAAAAAAAAAAAAGACAAAGGACTGAGAAGAGCAATCAGTGGGTCATTGAGCAGATGCATAAACTGACCAAAAGCCCAGACAGACTTTGGGATGGAAACGATGCATCCTCCTAGGGAGGAGCTGGGACGGGGGCTGATAGATGTGGCCAACTCACTCAGCTCAAGGCTCCCACTCCAAACCTCACTGGAGCCTGGTGGGCAGCCACTGGCATTCCTAGGTCCCCAAGAGGGAAGTGACCCCTTTAGCTGTGCCCTGCCCCCTCCACCCTAGCTCCATAAAGGACTCCCTGCCCAGAAACTGCCTCCTTTCCATAAGCCCCAGGCCTCAGCCCACCCAGTCTGCAGGGTGAGCTGAGGCAGCAGCTGAGCTCTGTGATTATGGCTCAAGGGGCCTGGTTCCTCAGCACACAGGAAGAGAGGGGGCCGCCTGAACTCCAGGCAGCCAGTCCCACCTAGCAGCTCCCAGTCCCCAGCTGGGAGGCATTTGTTCTGCATTCTGCACGCTGATTACAGCTCTGCCAGGGTTAACCCCTGCGCTCCTGGGCACAGTCTCTTGACAAGGGAAGGAAGGGGACCACAGGAAATTGGGAGAGGAGAAAACCATGGGAAGTGGGAACTGCTCATCCCTGCATCTTTCACAAGGATGCCCAGACCCCCCCCTTTCTCTCATTTTCCGGAAGGAAAAACTGAGCTGGATCCTTAAATCAGGAGTGAAGCCAAGAACAGGAATGCAGCCTATATAGAGAAGTACTGTACTTCTATCTGGAGAGAGGCTTAGAATGAGGAGAGAGCGCCTCTCAGTCTCAGTTTACCCATCTGCAAAATGGGGCAACAAGTTTCTAACTCACAAGTTGCCTCACAGAGAGCTAGCAGAGACAAAGTGACTGGCACATAGTAGGAAGTTTCTCAACCACTGGTTGTTCCTTGCCTGCCCCTGAGCCCGGAGCTAAAGCAGATAGAGAGTATGTATGGCAGGTTGTAACTTTCTCCATTAACACTGCTCTCTTGGCCATATCTCTGGGGCTCTCAGCAAGTAGTGAATACCCACGAGCAGCAAATTTCCACGCTGGTATTATACCCATTTTACAGATAAGAAACTTGAGGTTCAGAGAGGCCAAGTGCCTTACCCATGGTCACAGGGCCTCTGACATCACACCAAACTTTGCCAGCTGCTCCGGGGATCTTCTGACTAGATGTGTAATTTATTGTCTAACCAGGTCACCTTTGAGAGTGAAAGGAAGTGCTATTAATAATTACGCTGGGACAGTAGGCATCATCTGGGACCGTCCTGGGCAAACCGGGAAGTATGGCCATCCTGCCACAGTTGGAGGCTTTGGGAAAGTCACTTTCCTTCTCTGCAAAATGGACATGATGGCAGTATTGCCCCTACAGGGATCTCATGAGGATTAAATGTGATGATGCATGTGAGGCGCTACAGGGCCTAGTATGCATTAGATGCTCAATAAGTGCTGCTTATTACTACTGCTGTTAAGGATGATAACCACAGAGCACTAGTCCCTGCCTCCGTCACTGTCCTTCACGGACGTTCTTGGCTCACAGCAAGAGCTTCCAAATTCACACTTGATCACACTGCTTGCCGGCTTAGTAGGTGGGACACCTGGCCCAAGCTTAAGCCCCCAACGCCTGGCCCAAGTCTCTCCCAGCCCTTGACTGTGCCCCCCATCTGGGCCTCCGGGGCAGCCCCTCTTCCCCCATGCTATTCAGTGCCTCTGAGATGTTCCAAATTTTCCCGGGGCAAAGCATCTTCAAGCCTGACCCCAGGGAAAGCGCTCTGACCGA